GAAGAAATGTCCATCACAGATGCAACAACCTACTATCATCATGACTGCCAAGAAACCCACAGAAGATCACCCCTGACATCCTACATGTATGATTTCCAAGAGCAAAATCTCTAAAACTAGTCTAACTTGTATCAGCGGATACTGATGGAGAATTCTGTTATGTTCCTGAAAAGTCTGACCAAAGATCACGACGTAACCATGTATACTACGAATGCCTCACAGCATGACTAGGACGTGGCCCCCTTCTAAGGTGAGAAAACCCAGGCTCAAGGAGGTGATTGCCATTGTCCACGGTCACCGTGAGCATGTGGTGGCCTCACACAGCCTGTGTGGAGCAGAGCTAGGGCTGCCACCCTTGTCTGGGTGACTTGGAAGCCTGGGATCTTTCCACGCCACCTTCTAATCTACTGCCTATACCTTGATACTTTGAGATATCAAACAATATTCTACAAGATTAATAATTGGAGGGAGCAGCTTTTACATGGTATTAAAATATACACTAAAACAGCAAGGCTCAAAACAGCATGACACTAAGATAGAAATGAAAGTGTGGAATCGTGGAGGCTCTGAAAGAGGCCCAGCTATTTTTAGATACATGGCAAGACAGGAACTCTCCAATACATGGTGAGCAGTAACTGCGAAGCATAGGAAAATCACATGAAAGGGTTTTAACTTCTGGCTGAGCAGACACACGGGAGCCTATTGATACAACCAGCTGGTGCCTTTGCTCAGTGCTCGATCCTGCATGCTCAACAGCTCAGAGGCCTTTGCTCAATCTCTGAAGCACTTCATAATTCATAAGGTGATGTCTCCAATTTCACAGATGGAGAAACTGAGGCTCAGAAAAGGAAATCCTTCAGCCAGGTCTAGCTGGCTTTGTCAGCTAAACTCCCCGGCCTCAACTGGCAGATGGGGCTGGGCTTTTCTGGGCTCCCACAGCTCAGGGTGCTGGTGGCTGCAGCCTGGGCACCTGTGTGTCCCTCCCCATGGGCCTGGATTGCTGAGCCCAAAGGTTGCCCTCTGCTTCTGGCTGGCGGACTCTCCAGTTGCCTCCTGGGTGTGCCTGGACTCTCATGCTGCACTCCCATGCCTCTTGCCAGGTCCCTGACTCAGTTTCCCCTCTCATCCCAGCCAGGAGCTATGGCTGTCTGGCTGGGACTCTGTTGAGTTCACCTTTGTGAGCCTCTGTTTCCACAGCTGTGAGATGGGAGAGGTGATAGTAACCACCCATAGGGATGCTGTGAGGATTAAACCAGGTGCTGAGCATCAAAAACATGACAGAGGGCCGGGTTTAGATGCACACACCCAGACCGACCCCGCTTCCAGCCTGCCCTAGAAGGGACGGCACCTGTCTGGGGACCCCTTAGGGCACAGGGTGACCACAGCCGCCCTTTCTAGGACCCCAGCCCTGGACCAGGCCTGACTCCAGGAAAATGCCTCCTGCTCCCAACCAGAGCCATTTCACCAAGCCATTCCACTCCCTTCACAGTTATCTCTGCTGCTTGGAGGAGCCCTGGGCAAAGCCCACCCCTGAGATAGGCCTCCCTGGTCCCCTTCTTCAAAAATCCAGGCACCCGAGGGCAAGGGTGGAACAGAAGCAGCACTGGAGCCCTGGGGCCCTGGACCCCTGGGGTCACCTACACCTGCTGACCTTCTTGGTGTAGCCCATGGCCTTCAGGACAGAGTGATTCAAGGTCTCCAGGGAGGCCAGGACGTCCTCATAGTCACCCATGTGGTCCACAAAATAATCTGGGGAAGGGAAGGCAAAGGTCAGGGGTCACAGGAAATCCTGCCCCTCCCACTTGGCACTCCTGACCCTCCCACCTGCACTACCCTCCCCCTCCCCCGCCTCAGGCCCTTCTCCGCCAGCCCCATCCCGGCACCCCCATCTTGGTCCTGGCATAGCCAGGCACCTACCACATAGCTCCTTGGTGTCCACGTGGCTGCAGAGACAGACAGAGACAGGAGGAGGGGTCAGCAGGCCTGGCCCCGAGCAGCCTGTGAAACACATGCCCTGCCGCCCGCTCTTTGCAGCCTGTGAGCTGGCCCCGCGAGCCCCACCTTACAGATGAGGACACAGAGGCCAGGTGACACCCCTGCCCCTGAAGGGCCGAGCTGGGCTCAAGTCTGTCTTACCCCCCACACCACCCACCCTTCTTCTGTTTTCTGAGTCCACTGACCCCATCATGAATAAATGACACCAAGGGTAGGGCCAAGCCAGGGGCCAGGAGGGATAAAGGAAGGGATGGTGAGGTCCCATTACTGTGATGGGCTGTCAAAGCTCTCACTGCCCCATTGCCCCACACCCTAAGCGACCCTGCCTGCTGGGTCCTGGAGTCCTTGGGGGCATGGCAGGGCCTTTCCTGTTCTGGTCCCAGCCCCTGGGTCCCACACTCCCATTCCAGCAGCCTAGAGAAGGGTCCTGTCCTTTCTTGGGGGAGAGGGCTGAGCATGAACCTATCCCCCACAGCAGTGAAGGAGCATGCACCAGCCCCAAGATTGGGGCACAGTGCTGGGAACTAGGGGGCTTCTGCAGCTTAGGAGCAGATTTGATAAGTGGGGGCCCTCTGGAACTGGCTAGGGATGGTCCCTGCACATGGTTGGCCCTTCCCAGGCCGAGGTCCCTCATCATGCTCAGTGGTACCCGCACTCAGCAAGGCGCATCTGCACAGAAAGCTTGCTGGCCCAGCGAATCTGTGCTCACAGGCTTTGCATGCTCTGTTGGGAAGGGCTTGTGACCTCCAGCTCATATTCAGAGTTCTGGCAAGTCCTGCAGAAAGTGACCCCGTCACTTTGCTTCAGTGCTTCACAAATCTTTCCGATTGTTTGTACATTGTTTTGGGCACAAAATCTATTTAGAAACCCAAGGAGCTGACGTTCAGGGCTCACACCTTAGGGGATGTTGGGGAGATCATCCTGAAAGTCTTTAGAGCTCTGACCTTCCATGATGGCGAGTCCTCCCTGCACCCACACCCACCCACACGTACTCTCTAACGAGCACCTCCTTCTCCCTCCACCTCTGCCCACTCCTCTATCCCGCTGACCCTTACACAAAGGACCCTGAAAGAAAAGGCCTAAATCAATGAGCACCCGCCTGGCCCTTCAAAGCACCCCAGGAAGCTGCAGTAACAGCTCAGAAATCTCCATCTGGCCCCAGGGAGAGCACTCCATTCTGCGGTCTGCAAACTGAAGTCATTTCTTTAAAGTGGCCTTTCCCAGAGGACAGTGCCTGCGCCACTCACCCCATCCTGGTCCCCAGCCAGTGCCCCCCAGGACACTCTCAACCCCAACCACTGGTCCAGGCCATCATTGCACTCTGTCCCCTGCACGCTGGTTTGATGGCAGCTACTTGTGCAGACCATCTCTAGCCAGTCTCAGAGAACCTCAACTTACCACATGTGCCCTAGGCAGCCCTCCAGACACGGGTCCTCACCACCCAAGGAAGTCTGAGAAAGGAGGCTGGGTGGGGCTTTGACTCTCTTGAAGGTTGGGGTGAGAGGAGAGCTCAGACCTCATCCTGTCTCGGGAATCCCAAGAAAAGGGCAAGACTGGAGCTGAGGTTGGGAAGGATCAAGGGTAAGTCTGAGTCGAATGTGCATTTCACACTTGATTTAGACATGGGTTGGAGCCAGAGTTTTTGGCTGATTCTGAGACACAGGTTAGGGTTATGACTGGCTGGAGGAAAGGTGTGATAAGGTACGATGGTAGATGCCGTGTTAAGTTAGGATTTGTACTTGGTTCCAGTTTGTTTTAACACGAGTTGGTATTAGGGTGGGTTTCAACCTCACAGTTAACGTCGGGACTAGGAGGACGCACGGGCATTGGGGCTGGGGTCAGAACTGGCTGCTGGCTGAAGCTGGCAGAAGGATGAAGTTACTGCCAACTTCCTGTTTTCATAACCCCGTGTCCACTGTGCAAAGGTGGGAGTGTCTCCCTAGTTAGCCATGTGCTTTCAGAAGAGACCCACTTGTGATAGCAGCCAACGCGATATGAATCTGCACAAGCCCCAGTCACCCCAGGCAGTGAAAAGCTGACTTTTAGATTAGCACATCTGGGAATTTTCGGTTCTCCTGCCCTTTGCAGGGGACTACAAATGGAGACTAGAAGAAAAGATGCCTCCTCTGTGACCCACACGTGCCCCTCCTCTGCCAACCAGGACTGAGGCTCACTTGGTGTTGTCAGAATCAATCGTGTGAAAGAGATCTTCGAGCTCTTTCTCGTTGAGGACGCCATCTGCAAAGAAGAGCTGGAATTCCTCCAAGGACAGCTTCCCATCATCTGCAAGGAAGGAAGCGGGGAAAGCAGCTGGTGTCTACAGAAACAAGGCTGGTGAGACTCATGCACGCACAGCTCCCAAGTCCAGGCAATGCCCTGAACGAAAGAGCAACTCCAGCTCAGATAATCCTCCCCCTCCCAGGTAGTTCCCCAACTAAAACACAAATTCCATTTTAGAGCATCCCTATGCATCCAGCTAATTCCCACATTAACCAGTAAACTCCAGTACGTGGAGAATCACTCCCTCATCCAGCTCCTTGCCAGACCAATGCCTTTTCACAGCTAACTCTCAAACCAACAATGCAATACCTCGTTTCCTTGGGCTCACCATGCACTCTGCATTTTCCATGCATTCAATGAATACAGAGTATTTGCCCCCTGCCAGGCAATTTTCTCTCATTAAATTTACACAGCCACCTGAAGGCGTGTAAAACACTGTGTTTAAGACGGCACAGTGTGAGCAACCTGCCAATGTCACACCATCGGTAAGAAGTGGATCCAAACCCGGCAGCTGGATGAGCCACCGCTCCATAGCTTCCAAACACCAAGTGGTCTCCCCACATCCCTAGCTCAACACAGGCTGACAGCTTAAGCTCAGCAGAGGGCGGTCCTGAGATCTTGCCATGGTTTCATGCCACTCTTTTTCTCTTTGGCCCCATAAAGCATAAAGTATGAGAGTCTGGTAGAAAATACGAACACGTGTGCATGGGGGCTAGGGCCAATACCCCAAGATGCCCCCCAACATCCCAGCTAGGATTTCAAGGTCACTGGGAAGAAATAACTTCCGACTTTCAAAGGCAAAACCAAAAAAAACCCCAAACCAACCACACACGCACAAACCAAAGACCCACAACCAAACCACGAAAAGTCTACAAAATCAGCCTCGATACGTGAAATCAAAGCTACGGCTCTCTGTAACCTGTGACAGAGGACATCTTCCAAGTGTCTTCTGCAAGACTGAAGATAAAAGCCAGGAGTCACAGTGCGGAGTCACACGTGTGGCGTACCTTCCACGTGCTCACTCCTTAGTCTTCCTAACACTCATGGCACAAACAGGACTATCACTTCCATTTTAGAGAGGGGCAAACTGAGGCACAGAGCCATGAGGGTACCTGCCTAGGTCCTACAGCTGAAGCCTGAACCCAAGCCATCTGGCTCCTAAGTCCAGACTCTCAACCCAACCCAGAGGTAGGGTTTTGTGGCAAGATCGCCACCTACGCAGCCGGGGGTGGGTAGGCACCCCCACTTTGGGTGAGGAGCGATCAGCATGGGCACCACAGGGGGAGTCTGTGTGAGCCCCAAGCCCAGCCTCCCTCTGGCTGCCTCATCTCTTGGGAGAGCAGGCAGAGGCCGGTAAAGTACCCCTCACAAAGCCTTTGGCTGACATTTACCCTGAATGCCTGACCACGGGCCTAATGAATCCGTTAATGAGGGAAAAACATGCCCTACACAGTTCCCCAGGCCAATTAGACCAAACGGGCCAGCACCTCTGCCTGAGACCCCAAGCGGGCCATTTGCAGGTGTCTTTGCTAATTAGCAGGAACTCAGTCTCTGTCTCCATGACCTTTCAAATGCCAAGAGCCCGTCAGAACCCATGTCCCTGGAGGGAAATGCTGAGTGGCACTCAGCCCTCGCCGCCCTCTGGGTTTATGTCCCGGGATGCCAGTCAGGCCCCTCATGTTAACCTTCCCATGGGGACTGGGCGCCTGGTGTTCACCTCAGCCAAACAAGCCTGTCACAGGAGCCACCGTGACATGCCAGCCCTGAGCCTTTGCTCCCACAATTTCTAAAGCCTAAGGCCAGCCTGGGGGCTCCCTTGAGATTGCACCCCCATCTCTCACTCCCCTGGGACATCCCATCAGTCCTTCCTGTGCACACCAGAGGCAGGGCTGGCATCAGCGTTAAGCAGTCCCATGTCTGCTTGTGTGTCTATCAGCCTCCACACCTGCACACCTGTTCCCATCCCTGCAC